CTTTCTGTATAATTTCTAGGCGGCTTCACAAGTTGGCGCCACTATTTCTGAGATTTAGGCTGCGATTTCAACTTCATTTTCACACAGTTCGGAAGCTTGAACGAACGAGTGTACCAGACCAGTACCAGGATGGAGACGACAAAGAGAAAAGTACAACCTTGTATGACGCACAGCAAATCTAATTGGTTATCAAACTTGCACTTTGTATTCCGCTTCCGTAGCATCACTAGTTAACACCTCGACACGGTTTCTGTGGCAAATAAGCTGTCGGAACGTCCCGGGTTCGGCACTCGGCCTAGAGACCGCCTACACAGAATGAGTCAGAAAGCCATCATTCCAAAAGAGAGACGGAACGCGAAAAAAAAAAATCTTAAGAAAGTCATTTCCGTAAGAAGACACTAAATTTGCACAGGAAGGCCTTGGTGTTAATCCTTGCGATTACAATAAAAAGTAGGATAATCCACATTAAATACCAGTCACTCCCCTATGTAAATGCAATATCATTTTATAGCACCGATAATTTCAACAGACAACCCTTGAAAGTTCAATTGAAAATAACTTTTATTGCAGAAGTTCTTCAGTTATCGTCTCTTGAAACTTAGTTTTAAATGGGGCGGTAGAATTTCAATAGTAAACTAGTGTAGAAAAGCCTCTAAACTTCGTAGTACATACAACCCGACAATAATACACTGATGATAATATTCTTTCCCCAGGGGAACACAAAACTGTCTTTTAGAAACTGGTTCCTACGTTGAATATGGGGGTGCCTTGTGGCTGCAGGCAGCTGCTTTGATCTAACCCACTAAGGCGTATTTGCCGTCATGGAGCTGAATTCCATGTTTTAGAAATAGATATATTATGAAGCTTGACGTCCGACTAACCGTTTAAAGCCGAAGTTCGTCTAAAAAATATTAAAAGAATCAGTCCGTACGTCAGAGTAAACATTACGTGTCTCAATTATTGCTGTTCAAGGAAATCACAGCTGCTTATTCAGAGAATCACATGGAGACAATAACTGTGGACAGAATGCAGAGTTGGTAATTGAACGCTACAATTGTTCGAGAAAGACCCACATTACGACGCCCTCCGCTCCACGAGCACGCATTTCGCTCATGAATTCTAAACCCGTCCAAAAGACAGACCACCGAACAAGAGGAATTTTATGGACGTGATGAGAGATAAATGGGCCTGAAGGGGTTTTGAGATAAACCTCGTTTTGAATCCAGTGACGTTTCTAGTTTGAGATAAAACGTGGAAGTTGAAGTACTTTTTTGTGGGGGCAAGCAGGGTCAATAGACAAGGACTTTCTTGTGCTTTTATTTCCTCTGTAGTAATGGCCTTGAGTGAGGCAGATACAGATGATCAAGTACAGTCATAACAGGACCACAAAAAGAAATCCTTTGTTTCGCGCAGAGCGAGTATTTTATGTGCTGACAGACAGGAATTACCTTTGTTGTGATTAGTCAGTTATTTGGGCTGGGAAACATCAGAGTTGCCAACCGCCACCTAAAATGACTGCAACAAAGTAACTAGGCTTTTTCGATAGTTCTTCACATATTTCGAGATTTTTCAACTTTTTGACGCTTTCGGAACAATAAAAGTGATAACTTAGTTTTATTAATGCGCACGTTGACTCAACACAACCTGACGATCTTCCATGCATTTATAATGCAGAATGTCTTATCAGTATCAAATAAACTGCGTAAATATGTCTATGGCGGTCTTCGGGTTGTGGCACAGTGTGGGCCTGTAAATGGGTAAAAACATTTCGAAGGGATTACTGCTTACATTCAGGAAACTATGTGGATTGGATTCGTCTGGCCAAGAATAAGGGCCAGTAGGGTGCACTTGTAAACACGGTGCTGAACCTCTGAATTCCATACAAGGTAGGAAATTTCTTGTATAGTTTAGCGACTATTATCATCTGGAAAAGGACTGCTCCATGGAGTTACTCGTCTTTGTCTGAACACGGCATGAAGACACGTGGGAATAAAAATATTTGTAAATTCAATAAAATTGGTTGTTTTCCAAGATTACAAATGTGAAATATTTCAGAAAACAATTTTTGCCTAGTCCCTTATCATACCACTAATCGTCACATTTGCATTGGAATTGGCAAAGATATGGAACGAAGTGGTCTCTGCCTAAGTCAAGGTGCTATCCCGTCATATGCCTACTGGAACTTAAAAAAACGATCCAAAGCAGGCCTACAGTTTTACGCAGGCAAGCCTTCTTGAGGTCTTGACCGGGGTTATAATGGTCACAGCGCTAACGTTTCCTCACTCCCGACGACAGCAAGAAAGATAGATGAATTGCATTCACGACAACAGCGTCATTAAAAACAATGAGCTTACGTCATAACAGAACCGTCGATTGTTAGTAGTCCTTGCAGAGAAGATACTTCTAACGTAAAATAAAACGTCTTAAATCGTGAGGGAACTTTTGCTCGTCCAGTAAGGCATCCGGTTATGAAACAAAACTTTAATATGCAACTTGTGTTACCTCACTTCATTCTTTGAAAAACACATGATTCATCATAACAGCGTGGCTTAATTACTAGCAAGTGACACACAACGCAAGTCGGATGGCTTTCATTTATAATATCTGCTAATTAAGAACGTCGGATTCATTCTTGCCAGCACAGCGCATTACTGGACGCTGTATTTACCTACCCAGAAAAACTGAATAAATAAAACAGATCGACGTAATACAATACAGCAGAATTGCAAAACGATAATGATGTAATATTTTCATGGTAACATATAATTATCATTATTAAAAGCCACGACAGATAGCAAAGCAAGTTTCTTTCCCTGATCGTTTCAAACACCAAATACTTCCAGACGGGCATGCTTGTAAATAAGCTGTATCTGGCGCAATAAATAATGCGTTCATTGATCCAATAAGCAGTAGTGAAAGCGGTACCTCCACACTGAACGCTACCTCGAAGGATGGGCTGATTGTTTCATAAATTAATTATAAATCGAAGTCGAACATCCCCTGCCTCTATAATGAAACTGTTTGATACACCTTTGTGGCCATATACTAGTAGTTTTCTATAAAGCTGCTTACAGTTATGAGTTTCCTACGCAGGAATGGTCTAACAGAGGAAGGGAACTAGCTATAGACTACATCCGTGGCCTCTATGAACGGTAACACGAACTAAAATTAGGCTAACCTCCGACCCACCAGCGCTAATAAAATGCGTGGCGTGGAAGACATGACAAGGTTGTGTGTGGTAAACACCATTATGATAAATGAAGTTCTCACGGCAATTAATATGTCGACTGCGGACTTCTGGGTTGTGACGCCAGTTAGTCGTCTTGTAAGTTTCGAATGAACTTCTACATTGTTACGGAAGCGACTCGTTCGTTCGTAACGCTGGCAACCACATACAGCACTAGATGACGTCACAACTCAAAAGACCACAATCGACATTGTTATAAATAAGTTGTTGAAAGCAGTGTTGACAAGGAAAACAATACACAATCACAAAAATATGCAAACAGTTTCCAGAGTAATGACATTCAAAAGTTCGTTAAAATTTCAGAGTTCAGTTACTTGTGAAGGCAACTGATTAGTTTTCCTCAAAACTACAGGGCAGCGTTAATCAGCGTAAGAACCCCAGAAAAAGTTTAGACTTCAAAGGTTTTGTGATCTTTTCCATACACATAAATTCGTACAACGTTAAGAAACACTTGTTGAATTTCAATATAACGTTAATAAATAAAATTACGCCAACAATATAGTTTTTGAAAGACGAGGGAATGATTGGGGTTTAGCGGAATTCTGCAAAACTGCTAGTACAGTGTTCCTCGAACAAAGAAGATGAAAGTTACCGCTCAAACTATGCCCGTCTAACAGATGTTTCTTAAAGGCCTTACTTAAACGCGGCGTACCGTTAGACCAGTCATAAAAAATAAGCAGAACATTTAACATCCCGATCCGACCCCCTGCAAAAGCCCCTAAGAGTGGTTCAAACGGACCTCGCAACTGAGGCCTCTGCCCATCAACAGGCCTACCCATTATGACTACATTATACATTTTTGTTCTTTATTTCTAACATACCAATTTACTTGCTACCAGAAAACGTTTCCGATCCTTGTTTCAGCAAACAACCGAACATAAAAAGACAACTGCTTCTTCCCACTTATTTATCAAATTAACCATTTATAAACAACCCCCTCACATGTCACTCCAAACGTGGGGAGCTAAACCGTAAATATCAGGCAGTGGCAATATTAGGGCTAACAATAACAATCCAAAACTGACATCACCTTTCACAGCAGATAAATAACTGATTTAAAATATGATTAAATGATTGTTTTACGATCTCCAAAAACTTAGAATACAAAACGTTTATATCAACATATTCCTGTATTTTATGAAACGGGTTTATGCATAGAGCTGAGAATCAGATATTCAAGACCGACTATATTAAACAGAGGTATTTAAACATACAAATTATATTTAAAGAATCTATTAATGATACAAAGAAAGACCTTCTTATCACGCAGGCCTATCGGCAATATGAAAATCAAATCTTAATTTATAAATGATTTTTAAGAGTATGGCTTGCAAAACATGAGGACTACAAAAAACGTTCATTTGTACAAATTCTGTACAACTCCCTTACTGAGTTTATGTAACAATTTCAACTGTTTCAAAACCAAATTAGTATGTATGTAAAATATTTCTTGCAACGTGCGCCTTTGAGAATAAACTTCAGATGATTCACACATTTTATTTTTAAGCATTTATTCTTTTCTCTGACAAGGTGCGAATCGTAACATATTTTGAAGATTATTTTTTTCAAATTTTACATATATAATCCCTACTCATTTTTCCAGCTGTGTAGTTATAGTGTTCAAGAACTATTTACATCTGCTACGGAACCCCTAACAGGGAGGATTGATTATACATGCAAATATTTACATAATTATCTACTTTCTAGTGGACATTAACTTCGTATGCGAAAGATCTGGATTATTTGTACTTACCTATTTTGTCCGATAGTATATATTCTGTTTTGATAACACGTAAAAGCACAAAGAAAACACAGCACCACAATTCCCGACTCCCGACACTCGCCATCTTTCATAACAAACTGAAATTCCTCTCCTACTGGTCGCTCGAGGTCGCTCACATCGCACTCTCCTCCCCGCGAACGAGTCGTGACGTAAGATTCCCCAACGATGGCGCCAACATACAAACAGCACGCGACCCTGTAACACACGTGTTAAATACTGCAAATAAAAGAAACACAAATGACTGATGCATTAAATAAAGCACGACACAAAACAGCCAAATCAATAAAGACAATGCTAAACGTTGTACCTAAATGTAAGGGATAGTCATGTTAAAAAGCATAAACACAAAACACACGAACTTGTTTTGTTTAATCAATATCCGCCATTTTTAAAACAGTGAGATTAAAGCATAAACACGAAAGAAGTAAAATATAACATTTTCGCGGAGGTTAATTTACATCAAAAGAACAATCTTTCTTCCTCTATCACGTCACAATCTCAACCACAAAGTTCCTAGTACATAGTCTTGTAACACATATTTACAATGCTGAAAGCAAGTGAGACTGAGAATGTAATAAAAAGCATAATCTGGGAAATCACCAGAGAATGTGCCTCAAGAGGAATCAATATCACAGATAAATGTGCAGCATATGTGGTAAGGGTCTAAAAAAATTTGAATTCTCTCATCAATGATGATCATGAAAGAATCTTGCTTACAAGTACATTAATAATTAAAACATCTTACTACTTAATGTCTCCCATGGCTGAATAAGAATAAGCTTACTGAGGAAAAAGAATGTTACAAGAAAGAATCTTCCAAAAGAACACAACTTCAATAATTTTCTCTTGGCATTTCGGAAGTGGAGAAACAAATTCTGATCTGTGGTATGGAAAGACTCTGTTGGTACCTACCTATAAGATCTCACAGTGTCATAACCCAGAACATCATCACTGATATAATGACCATTATGACAACCTCAAAACTTCACCCTGAACATGGTGGTATATTCTTTACAAGACCACGTCACATCACAAATTAGGAGATTACCACCAACAAAATTAATTGCCATTATGAACTGGAAAGACACATTTTCTGAAACTTTCTCTCTTACTGTATAATATCTAGTTAGACGTCTGCAAGAATCTACCCCAAATACTTCATGCTGCATGAGTAGACATGCAAAATATTTTAATTTCTATTGGCAATAAATACTTCCATACTGTACTGTTTCAGATCAAGTTATTGGTTCTGAACCCAGAACATGGCTTTATTTCTGACCGCCCACTGGCCAGAGATGATGTTAAACTGTTGATTGACGTGTGCGTACAGAAACTGTCAGAGAAATATTCTCCTTCCCTGGCAACAATACAGATGCAGGTACACTTTGATACCAACTTTGCATCTCGACATGACATCATCAATGACAACCGAGCCAGTATTAAATTTCAAACTGCACCCTTTATTAAGGAAATAATTGCAACATATGCTAAAACCAAGGAGGATCTTGAGAAATTATATCGCAAGATTGTTGTGACAACAGTCATAAGCTCTGGTCTTGGAAATCCAACTCATCTCAATATCCTCAGGGAAGCCACAGGCAAGTTCAGGATATAACCATTTATGGTAAATGTTTTGTTGGAAATTGTAACAATTTTTCATTCACTCTTTATTTTATTGGAGAAAGAGTGAATGTTAAGATTAATGGGAATTTAAGACTAATGCATCTTTTCTTGGGCATTCTGTAGAAACCAGAATGGAAAGACAAAGAATGCTGTTAAGTTTGGCTTAAGACAGAGAGTTCTGAGGTTGCAATAAAACCTGAATTGGCTCACAACAAGGTTGGACATCACGAGTTCTGAACACCAAAGGTCTGGGACCAATTTCTTGATTTGGGTTGACAGGTTGTAAGGAGTACAATTTATCAAATTTTCAATTTACTATTAAAAACATGTTTATATATCTTACTCAAGAACTTTTTTCACAAAAATCAGTCACTAGTGAGACAGATGGCTGTGCTTTTGTTTGACTAATTGTTCAACAAGAAAACTTCATTTACTCAGACACCAGCAAAGTGTTTCGTTAGAGATAAAGCCCATAACTTAGGCCTAGTCACGCTTAATTTCTCTTGTATGGCCTGTGGATTGAGAATCCCTGCCCTATATCAACTTTGTTGTGGTTATGGTGAATCTTATAGGTCCCACAATAACAAATAATTTTTAAATCATCTAAATAAATATTTGTTGAGTCAAAATTTTGACCCAGAACCAGTTACTTCATTTCTCTTATTACAGCTGCTCTATCGAGTGTGTTCCCACACACTGAACTCAGCCAGTTCATGGCACTATCCCATAAAGATAAGGAGCAGCAAATCATAGAACTTACACAGATCACCACCGGGATTCGGCTCTTTAATCGTGACTGCCAGAAAGGCGGGGATGGCATTGAAGATCGTAAGTGGTATCTTAAAGTCAACTGATTTTAAACCATATGTCTCACAGCAATAAACTGTGCTGAGTTGTGTGCATCACATATGGTTAATGATACATGTCTGTTACCATGCATCTACACATTCTCAGTCTCAGCACTAGACAAATGTGTCATCTTCACACTGAACACCTTTTTTGGGCAAAGCATATCAACGCCCATTGGACAAAAGAACAGCTAGACCTCAGAGCCATTACTGACATGGTTGCGAATGAATTACTCCCAGCAGCACAGCAGGGAATGTAGCTTCTGCCGACTATCGCATATCGAGTTGTAAAACATATGTAAAATTTTAAAGTGGAAACTCTTATCAAAATAAGAATCAATATGAGTAGAAAGGTATATTCCAGTGGAGTACATAGTATTTGAAAGTGAATTCTCTGCAAATTTTGCATTTTCCTATTTGTTAATTCAGTTCTGAAAGTTTGTTATGATGGTGTGTTGTTGAAGCAAACTGTTTTCTGGACATTATCCATCATCCAATACTAAATAAAGAGATTGGACTCTATCTCCGTCTTCAGGTAAAACCTACTCTGTTGGGCCCAATAGATGGAGCTAATCCCTATCTAATATTCATTTATTGAAAATAAAAATAAGTTCTTAATTTCTTTCATCTTATAAATCTTGTGATGAAACCTTGTGGCAGAAGTGGTAACATCATATTAGTTGATTTCAAATAAGTTGCAGATCATAAGATTCATATTAAATATCATGTACGAACTATACATATGATGAGTTGTTTTTCAAAAAATTGATAAAGTATGATTTAAACTTCATCTAGACTCCCCATACCAAGTTTTATTGACACCCATTCAGATAGAAAGATGAATATTATTTCCCTTCTGCATTCATTTCAAAAAGTTTGTGTCAAAAACACATTCAAATATATTCAGATCTGAAAATAATAACTGCAAGTTTCTTCAGTTTTGAAGTAGATTTACCCTTCTCTGTAACTTTCAAAACAAGATTTCTTAATGATTTTCTTTCAGTCCCTAATTTACTACAGAAAGCAATCACTGCAACACAATCATCATTGGAATCACAGCTTCAGATACTGCTGGAGAGAGTGAACATTCTCACTGCAGCTGTAGAGAGATGTCTAAGGCCTCCTGGCAAGCCTGAGAGGGAAGAACTGTTCGGAATAAAATACAAAGTGTTGGAAGCAGAGAGTAAAGAAGGACCAGAGCAAGGTGATAATGTTCACACTGAGAAACTCCACAAAATTTCAACAAAGCAAATACAGATGGTGTTGGATGGACTGGCTACAGCTCGACAGCTAGAAGTGTACTTAAGGTGCTTGATAAACTAGGTGTACTGTTATGATAGAGTTTGTGACTTTTATCCTTCCAGGTCAGGAATACATGAAAATTGGCAAAGTTAATTCTTTTATCATTACCAACTAATCGTAAGTGACAATATCTTGTATGACATTATTGTACATAGCTCCAGGAATGTTACTGAGATCTGTCAGCAAGACTACTGAATGAATCCAACATTCTAGAAATAAAGTAATGACTGGTAAGAAGACTTAAGTCTTCCTATATGACTAAGTGACAAGCCACGGTGTAGCGGTTAGAACGCTGGCCTTGTAATCCTGGGGTCTCGGGTTCGATTCCCGGCGGTGCCCGAATTTATAACTTGTGTTAGGCAAGGCCGTGGTCTAGGCAACACGGAGTTTTCCTCCGGGGGCTTCCCCGGTTTCTCCGTGGCATCCCAACAATTACTCCATTCACACACAGAAGAAGGCAATGGCAAACCACTTCTGGATCATCTGCCAAGATCGTATATGAACAGGTCCCAGTCCGAGAAAAGGATGGAAGGATCCTGTTCATATGGACCTGTCATCAGACAGAACACTAAAAGTAAAATAAATATGACTAAGTAACAAGACACCAACCATCAAACACCAACACAGAGTTTAATTTTGAATCATTTGAAGTTATTCCGAGTAATGTAATGAGACTACTGAAAGGACCTCTTGAAAATGACTTCAGCAATGTTTCTAGGTATGGCAGAGGCAAGAAGCAGAGAAAGTCAGAAGTATTCTTACAGCGACCACACTTCTTGGAGTTTAGTAACAAAAATCAGTTTGTTTATTTCACTGCCAGACTTTGTACAATAAGGGTTTTTCCAAACCTTTGCTTGGACAGACTTAAATAAACAATGAACAAGCCCCTGTTGAGTTACTCAGTGTTTTTACCAAGATATGAAGTATCTCTGACCTGCTTAATGAAAACTGATAATAAATCAAATTAATCATCTAATTCAATTTTCATTTCCAAAATGGCTATTTTACTAAAGGTTTTTAGTCCTTCCCATTCAAGTTACTTACACATTCAGAACACAGGAATAGCTATGATTTAATTGCCCTAATAATATTGAGGATTAAGGATTAATTAATTTTTGACTTTACATTATATAGGAAGTTATTAATGGAAGTTGAGAAATCGCAGCAAGTGTTAGCAGAACTACTGGATGAACTAAAGTTGAGATTGACCACAATCCATGACACTGTACGGTTCAGGACTGCCATACCAACTATACAAATCTATGTAAGTTATCTTCATAGTTTGTAGAGGTTATGATAGGACATTTCTTAATATAAGGATATTTTTCGATGGTAATAACTCTGTTGAGACATATTATTTTGATTGGATGCAGAATATTGATGTATTATCTGAGTTTCCTGCTACCTGTGCAAGTCTCTTACTGCAGATATGCCACACAAAATTTTAGTACTCTTTATGTTATAACCAAGAATCCAAATATCTGTAAACAACATTTCAGTCTTCTAAATATTAATATTTAAGAAAATTGTTTTGGTCTTAAAATATAATTGGGGAGAGGGGGGGGGGGCAGGATGGAAGGCAATATAAGATTCTTTCACATTTATACCCGAGTTCTAAATAGATATATAATGCCAGAAAGCATGTCTGAAGGGTTACTGTACCATAATGCACATTCATTTATTCTAACAGACAAAAGTAGAGTAGTTGTCTTTGTGTTCAAACCCCACAGCTGGATGGAGGCGACTGGTCAGTTTCATGCTCTGTAATTTTTATTACCAATATCTAATGGACAGAAGAATGGGTGGGCCCCACAGCCAGTCTGGACATGGCTGTGAAAAGCACACAACCATTCACTTTATCGATAAGCTACCTCTGTTTACTTACAATGATGATATATCTGAAAGATGCGCCAATTTCTCACTTCATTCTCACAATTAATGTGGCTTTTCAAGTTTTTTTATCGCTAACCCAATTGAGTAACTTTTTCAGCCACAATTCATACATTTGTCAGAAATCTGGACCAGTCTGCAGGATGAAATGGTATTACTGAGCACCATCAATAACCTAGCCTGGAGCCTGCAGAAATATTTACAGGTATGCTGCCTGAAAAACCAACAAAAAAATTAAATTCTTGCTATGCACTCTAAATTAATCATCTAATTCAATTTTCATTTCCAAAATGGCTATTTTACTAAAGGTTTTTAGTCCTTCCCATTCAAGTTACTTACACATTCAGAACACAGGAATAGCTATGATTTAATTGCCCTAATAATATTGAGGATTAAGGATTAATTAATTTTTGACTTTACATTATATAGGAAGTTATTAATGGAAGTTGAGAAATCGCAGCAAGTGTTAGCAGAACTACTGGATGAACTAAAGTTGAGATTGACCACAATCCATGACACTGTACGGTTCAGGACTGCCATACCAACTATACAAATCTATGTAAGTTATCTTCATAGTTTGTAGAGGTTATGATAGGACATTTCTTAATATAAGGATATTTTTCGATGGTAATAACTCTGTTGAGACATATTATTTTGATTGGATGCAGAATATTGATGTATTATCTGAGTTTCCTGCTACCTGTGCAAGTCTCTTACTGCAGATATGCCACACAAAATTTTAGTACTCTTTATGTTATAACCAAGAATCCAAATATCTGTAAACAACATTTCAGTCTTCTAAATATTAATATTTAAGAAAATTGTTTTGGTCTTAAAATATAATTGGGGAGAGGGGGGGGGGGCAGGATGGAAGGCAATATAAGATTCTTTCACATTTATACCCGAGTTCTAAATAGATATATAATGCCAGAAAGCATGTCTGAAGGGTTACTGTACCATAATGCACATTCATTTATTCTAACAGACAAAAGTAGAGTAGTTGTCTTTGTGTTCAAACCCCACAGCTGGATGGAGGCGACTGGTCAGTTTCATGCTCTGTAATTTTTATTACCAATATCTAATGGACAGAAGAATGGGTGGGCCCCACAGCCAGTCTGGACATGGCTGTGAAAAGCACACAACCATTCACTTTATCGATAAGCTACCTCTGTTTACTTACAATGATGATATATCTGAAAGATGCGCCAATTTCTCACTTCATTCTCACAATTAATGTGGCTTTTCAAGTTTTTTTATCGCTAACCCAATTGAGTAACTTTTTCAGCCACAATTCATACATTTGTCAGAAATCTGGACCAGTCTGCAGGATGAAATGGTATTACTGAGCACCATCAATAACCTAGCCTGGAGCCTGCAGAAATATTTACAGGTATGCTGCCTGAAAAACCAACAAAAAAATTAAATTCTTGCTATGCACTCT